TTTTTTTTTTCTGCCTAGTGAACAAGTGTTTTGTTTCTTTTTAGGTTCTGCAAAAGACTTAATCTGTACCCACTTTATGGATGGGATGAATGAACTGGCCATTGCGTATATCCTTCAAGGCGTGTTGAAAGCACTTGACTACATTCACCATATGGGCTATGTACATAGGTAAAAAAGAACAAGCAAGCAGACTGAAACTGATGGGAAATGACATTACTGATCTTATTAAAGGTTGTGAAACAAATTTATCTGTGAATTCTGAAGACCAATATCTATTTGAAAGAAAAACACCTGCAGCTCATGTGCTCTGAATTGAGACAGACAGGGCAATTTGCCATCACTGCTGAAGGTCCTGGGCCAAACCTTCAGTCCTACACTTCACCTTGCCACAGAAGCACTTGAGAAAATGCCCCGTGGGTGAATTGAGTCCTGTAGAGTTTGTAGTAGTCGTTTTGTACAGCATTCAGGGTCCAATTAGAAATCTCAGTGTCCTGTCAGCTGGTTACATATTGTCCTGTGTACTGACCTATCCAGTAGTCTGTCATGTTTCCCTTAGTTTTTTTCCTCCTAAATCACTGTCTCCATGCCCTGAACATATTTTTTTTTCCTCTCCTTATATGTCCTCCTATAGTGAAAGCAAGTTTCACATGCTGGGTATTTGAGGTTACTAGTGGTCACTACTGCTGCTATGTGTATTGGAAAAGAATTTCACCTTACTTATGTCTGCCTTAAATCCCTTGCAGTGTTCTTTTGAACTAACAGCTTCCCTGGCACACGGAGGAATGTAACTCTTTTGAAGGAAGAGAACCTGATCATTTTTATTTTTCCTTGAGGAGTGTGAAAGCCAGCCATATCCTGATCTCTGTGGATGGGAAGGTGTACCTCTCTGGACTGCGAAGCAATCTAAGTATGATCAACCATGGCCAGCGGCTCAAAGTTGTTCATGACTTTCCCAAATACAGCATCAAAGTCCTACCTTGGCTGAGTCCTGAAGTCTTGCAGCAGGTCTGTACAACTCTCTGCTCTAATCACTTAGGTTTGCTCTTTTGCGTATCATATCATAGGCATTGCCTGCCTTCCATCAAGTGCAAATCCACAAGGCTAATCCATTTCATTCTTCTCTTTCCAGAATCTCCAGGGTTATGATGCAAAATCTGACATTTACAGCGTAGGGATAACAGCCTGTGAACTGGCAAATGGACACGTACCGTTTAAAGACATGCCTTCGACTCAGGTTAAGGCTTCTTGCTCTCTTCTATGCTGGCTTGTGTAACTGCCTTGCTGCACTGGAATGTGAAGACAAGCGAGTGCTCTGTGTGCCCAAATTTGCTTTCCATTGCTTTTTCCATAGAACTGCTGTACTTCCGTATCCTGTCTTTCATGTCAAAATGGTAATGTTTAAATGCTGAGGATACTTGAAACCCCCTGAGAAATCTTAACATTAATTACTTTAAATAAGAAAGGCAGAGACTTCGATTTCTCTTAGCGTCCCCACTCTGGTGTTCGGCCAGCAGTGCAGTGCTTGCAGGCCCCAGCTGAGGCTTGCTGTGGAGACCTTTAGCTTGGGTTAACTGCAGAGTGGATTAACCAGTGGGATATATTGGAGAACGCTTTTTCCAAAGTTCTWCAGAACATATCAGGTGAATGTCTTTTGGATGATGGAAATAGTTGATCCAGCCTGGAGTGAGCTATATGATGTCTTCATGTCCCATCCAGCCCTATGTTCTGTGATTTTGGTACCAGTTTGTATCCCTCAACATCTAGTCTGCGTGGGTCTGATGTTGCTATGTCGCTTCTCCTCCAGATGCTTTTGGAAAAGCTGAATGGAACTGTTCCATGCCTGCTTGATACCACAACAATTCCTGCTGATGAGCTGACTATGAAAACCTCCCGATCAAGTGCTAACTACGGGATGGGTGAGACCACGGCAATTAGCAATGTGAGAGCAGCCAACGGAGAGTCAACGCTGCATCCTTACCTTCGGACCTTCTCGACTTACTTCCATAACTTTGTAGAGCAGTGTCTGCAGAGGAATCCAGATTTCAGGTAAAGTCAGGCTGAAGCTGCTCTTTACAGACCTGCCGCAAGTGCCTTTCTAGAGCCACTGTTCCCAGCAATGTTTGTTTGAAGGTTGTGTTTGTTTCCCCTCCAACATGCCTCCAAAAGCATAGTGTGAGGCTGGGCTTCCATACACTGAGAAAGGCAGGCCAGGTATTACTGTAAACCACAAGCAGTGTTAACACTTTGAGGAATTTTCCATATTAGAGTCTAAAGAATTTCAGTTTCTGTAAAATACCACACAAATGCAATGGAGGCAACAACGTTCCTGACTATGAAAGAGAGATATTCTGTAGTTCAGACTGAACAGAGGCAAGATTTTTTTCCACTGCTGTTTTTGAACATTGGTTTAGTAGTTTTCATTCCAAAATGCAGAATGCAGCACAAAACTAAGCATGAGGCTGAGTGAGCGAGCCAGTCTGACAGGTCACTGCTGAGGGGCCCAGTTCCTGCCCTGCCTCTCACTGGTTCTGCTACACATGAGACACCCCATGAGTTATGAGACCACAAAGAGTTTTGTGCTGGGTTAGCAAGTTAAATCGGCTCAGAGGGCCTGAGTACTAGAGTCTGGTGYGAGGTAGACGATGGGGAGGACGAAGCTGTTGTGGGGAAATGCTTGCAGAACTGCACCTTGGGCATCTTGAAAGTACAAGTTAGCTGTCTCCTTTTCTTGTGTGTGTACTTTATTCTTCTAATTCCCTTTTCCAGGCCAAGTGCAGGCGCTCTGCTTAATCATCCCTTTTTCAAGCAGGTAAGAAGTTCATAGAATCTGTAAGTAAGGAACAGTTGCTTTTCTATAGTTGTTGTCTTGCTGTTATTGAACCTTAAGCGGAGGATGTAGCTGTTGAGTTGCTGACTCTTCTGTGATGTGAAAGCACCAAGTTTTTAAATAATTGAWGGGCATTTGGTGACTCATTATAGTCCAGTGTGGTGATCCTGGCGTTCTCTTGGGTGGTGAAGGTGCTGTTCTCAGTACCTCTCTTCCTAATTTGAACAGAGAAAGTAAATCTGCCTGTTGCTCATGCAGAAGCCTCCTAGCTACCAATTATTGAAACCTGAGCTGAGCTATCATAGCCTAATTCTTCGCTGAGWCCAAACTAAGGTGATATGTCCGCTCTCAGGCCCAGCCTTGACTCGAGAAGAGGCAGTGGCTCTGCAGCCCCTAAAACTACTTGTTTGGCTTGTTCTYAGCTGAGGGTAAGGGTGATCTCCCCCCACTGCAAGACTTCAGCAGTTTGTGGTGCTTCTGACATGRCTGGCAGGCCAGACAATACCCTGTACAAACCTGGCATGTTTCTATGCTCAAAGCTTTTTCCCCAATTTACCACAGCCTGAGAAATAATGTGTTATTTTTTTTCCATACCCCTTTTTTTCTACAAGGGTTGGGAGAGACTTGAAGACCAAATGGGCTTAGGAGTGCTAGGCAGTGTCACAGCTGTTGCAGCAGCTCCGTGCCCTGGGGCACTGCARCTTGTCTTCCTTGGTGAAGGACCATTAGGGCCATGGCAGATGAGTGCTACTGGCATGACTGCTTGCCAAGCAAYTTCTTGTTACATGATGCAAAAAGCAGTTGAGTTCTCTCCTTTCTCTGCAGATCAAGCGTCGGGCTTCTGAAGCACTCCCTGAACTTCTGCGCCCTGTCACGCCCATCACTAACTTTGAAGGAACGCGGCCCCAGGATCCAAGTGGCATTTTTGGGTTGGTATCAAACCTGGAGCAGCTGGATGTGGATGACTGGGAATTCTAGAAAGAAAAATGTGGAATATACCTGCTTCTGGATGAGCTTTTTGGACATTGTAATTTATTGGTCCCAATCAAACAAGATGATGAATGTTACATATAGAAGAGTTTACAAGTCCTTGGGAAGAAACTTCAACTGTCTGTTTACTTGGGAAGTAGCCTGGAAACAATTGGAACAGACCCAAGCTGGAAACAGCTCAACTCCAAGGAATTCCAGTATTTCAGTTGGTGCAGTGCCCAAAGCCCCACTTTCTGCATCTGAGCACTATGAGATCACTAGAAGGGGTTGAGCAAGTSTGCTTGTCTTGCAAGGCTAATAGGAAGACATGAATAGTCTTCGTTATTCATGTGTTTCAAAAAGTCACTGGCTTCCTAGTATCACTGTTGAAGGCTGCATGTCCCTACCCTCTTTTTGGTCTTTTTCAAGGGTGCCTTAGAGATAACAAGGGGAGAGAGGCAGCTGTTACTTTTGGGCATTCTCCTAGAGCTAGTCAGAGTATACCGGTGTTGTCCCAGGGAAGTGGCTGAGGTTGGGGAGGGGAATATATTGTGAAATGTCATCAAGACTTTGGGATGGGAGGTTGAAGAATACCCAGTTCTGTAGTGGGCACGTTCACTGCATTGGACATTCCTCTGGAGCACTGGATTCTTCCCTTTCAGTTCTAGAAAGCTTTTGGTGACTCTTCATCCTTGAGGCTGAACACACTGAAATCCAGGTGAGACAGGGCATTCCAGCCTCTCCTCCTCGCCAAAGGGAATAATTCTGTGCAATGCACCAGCTTTTCCTCACCCACAGCTCCTGTCTAGTTCAGCATCCTGCTAGCTGGGCTCATTTCACAGCACCAAAACACTCATACCAGCTTGTTCTCAGTGACCTACCTTGGCAGAGATGAAAAGGAGGCTGACTTTTACACTAAATCCTCTTCTATCAACTGCTTTTTGGACATTCTGTGCAGTTTTTTTTTTCCTAAGTCTTGCTGTTTCACCTTTCCTGACCGAAGGGCAGACTGCAAGTCCTCTGCTTGCCTCTCACTGGGTTTCCCTTGATTCATGTTTGTGTGACTCTGCCCTGCTGCTGCAGCAGCTCTCCCTCATTCCAGAGTCTGCTTTTGGAGGTTTGTTCAAGGTTTTTTTAGTTTGCCCTTTCCAAGGACCATGGGTGCTGGAGATCTTTCTACTCTTTCAGGAAGCACTGAGAATCCAGTCCTGTATGTGGGGTTGAAGGGAGTAGCGGTGCTGGCAACAGGTCCTTCTTGTGTTTATAAACTGTACTTGAACCCAGATAAAGTTTGTTACTCTAGTTTTTTGCCAAACCGAATAAAATATTTCTGAAGTTTTTTTTTTTAAAGTCTGCTATTCCTACACACTGATGGAGTAGATGACAGTAATAATACAGATGTTAAAGCAAGTTAGGCAAGCTTACTCTCTTCTGATTAAAAGGCTGCTCCTTGCACCTCAGCTGGCAAGGCTACATGACCTCAGAATACAATGAATATAACAAAGGTAACTGGTTTTATATAGCGTTGCCCACAGTTTTCCCTAAGTCCATTTTCTCTGCCTTACTTGGCATTTCTCTGGGCTTTTGCTTTAATCACTCCTGATTTAATTATAGCAAATACATCTTTATTTCCTAACTCCTTTTTAAAGGCTGTAAATTATTAAAGTTTGCATCCCATCAAAATCTACATCTCATTTTCCCACAAGCTTGGACAGGAACTGGCTCCCTGATCCCTGAAAGCAAAGACTTTCACTGAATCACAGCACTGCTCTCAAGAGGCAAGTCAGGGTTGAGCTGGTGACAGGGGGAGAGGGGTCCTCACATGGGAAGGAGGACACCAGAGTAGTATGATCCACTGAAAACCTACTGGACTTCACTCCTGAATCCTCTTATAAACAATGATGTAGGTAAAAAATAGAAAGGAGGAAATACACTTGTTTAAGCTGTATAAAATAGCTGCGGAAGTACAGGGTACTCTAAGGAGTATTTTGATGTTGAAGAAAGAACTTCATGCAAGCTCATGTTTTTTCTTCCATTCCCATGCTTGTAGCTCATGGCAGGCTTAAATATGATGTGTTTAAGTTACAGGCCAGAAATGACACCATTTACTAAAGGCAGCTTTATGCTTCCATAGCTAACAGCTGGAAACGAGCAGGGAAAGTCCAAAGCCAGGAGTGAAGGGCAGCACCTTGGTCAAGGGGCAGGGGAAAAAAAAAGCTGTGAAGGGACTAACTGAAACAAGTCTTCACTACTCCACGTACACTCATGCAGAAAACTGCTTGGGTCCCCATGGCAGCACGGCTGTACTCAGACACGACTCGAAGTCTGACTCACCCGTTCAGTCTCGTGCCTGCGTGGAGCAGCAAGCAAAGGGTCAAGTTTCAGGCAGGACGGTCTTAGGAGCTGCTGTCTRTACAAACAAGCACTGACTAGGGCTGCTAAGCCCAAGGCAACTGCTGCAAGCAGTACGTACTTTTTTTTTTCCCCCCCCCCATTAAACTTTATTCATATAGATACAAAACGGTGCTTTGCTGTTATGGATTATCTGTGTGGTCTGAATGATCTGACTCCTCCTCTGCCTTGTGTTTCTCCAGTTTTGCCATAAGCTCTGAAAAACAGGAAGAGCAGGCATGAAACTCGAGGTAGAGAGGGACATTCCACAAGCAAAGCAAGCTCTTCAGCATCAGTAAATCTCTTCCAAAACCAAARCAAGTAACTTTTGGTAGCTGCCAAAAGGCTCCACTAGGAGCTACCACTCAGTGAGCCCAGACCCAGTTACTGCAGTCAGTCTGTCAGTGCTTTACTGACTTGCCACGTGGAGTATGCAAGAACCTACTGCCTTCACTCTAGTGGTATGTGCCTCTACCCTCATAAAAGTGATTCTCCCAGAACCCTCCATCTGAGCAAGCACAAACACATCTTTCACATTACCCAAATCCGTCAGTGCATGGTTTAAGCTATTCTGCCTGTAGCAAGGCTGAACATCATGAGGTTGCAGAGAGGAGGAGCTGGTGCTGTTTCTGCTCCAGATGCTCCTATTGGAAAGCTTCTCTCCTGCAGGAGAGGATTACCTTTCGCTGGGTTGAAGACACCATTGGTTTGCTTGTCACACACRTAGCAGCGCTGGGATTTGCGGTAGTGCTGGAGGGCACAGGTCTCACAGAAGTAGTGCCTACACCTGCAAGGAGAGACAGGTGCTACTGCAGGTCCCCAGATACAAATCACCATGTCCAAGAGTGTAAGTGACCTGGGACTGACTAGGAATGGGTATCAGAGACCAAGACCTCACCTACCAGAAAAGTCAAACCAAGCAAGTTCTACCCACCAGCCTGTAACTATTGACTGTATTTGCCTTAGATACTGGGTGAGCAGTGTCAATCCACCAAGGATCTTTAGTTCGCAACCACTTACTTAGTGACCACAGGGTTCTTGAAGGAACTTCTGCAGATGAAGCATTTGAAGGGCATGTCTTCCTCATCACTGCTCACCTCATAGTTTTCCTCATCTGCACAAGAGAAAGTTAACCACATTGGAGCAAAAGTAGAGGTTGCCTGGCCTGAAAATGCATGGGACATGAAATATTAAACATGCAGTGAAAATGAGTGGGATTGAATTTCTGCTGGAAATAACAGAGCTCTGGCATCTGGGTGGCACAGATGTCAGCAGCACGTGTGGGACTGAGATATAATTAGGTCTAATGAGCCATCATGCTTGTTGCTCATCTCACAAGAGAAAATTCTTCTCTGCTTTGCCTGCTTTCTGCTATAAACAGGCATTTCCTTCAGCCCGTTCCTGTTTTTCTTTAGATTTTTTTTYCCCCTCAAACTGRCTGCTGCCAAACTCTTTGGCTCCCACTGAACAGAAAACACCTACTTTCCCTCAACTATGCAGGGACTCCCAAGCAACACTCAGCTGCAGCCTTGGTATGGAGGCAGGAGATAGTCCTAACTTCCTGGTACCTCACAGCTCACTCTGGGACCCACACACTAGCAGAGGGCTATACTCCTTATAGAAGGGAAGAGCAAAGAATTCACCCTAGTGGCAGTCAGTGGTTACTTGAAAACAGTRCATTTGCTCAGTATACTCAGCAGTTACTGGCCCTAATACAATCCCACAGCAGGGATTTCCGTAACTTTGTGGGACATGGAGACCTTTCTGTCTAATATTAATTCATCAGAAGCCCACACAGTTTGAGGYGACAAGGGACCCATTTCCTTCTCCCCAACCCAGCATCCCAGTAARTCGAGTTTGCTCTAGAACATGAGAGAGAGTCAGTCTTCGTAGCCTCCCACAACATTAGCTCAGGGCGAGAAGAGGGCTGGGGTCATACCATTGACTCCATATCGGCCTTCATCCAATTCCCGTTCGATCTGCCAGCCGTGTTTGTAGTCTGAGCGATCGTGGAGGAATTTGCAGCTGTCTGAGCAACACAAAGAAAGAGTATTGCCTAGCTGTTAACAGCACACCTCATTTAAGGGCAGCCCAAGCTTTAGCCAATACCAGGTGAAACCCAACTGCTTTCCCAACCACCTCAGCTGCAGGGCAGTGCCAAGCAGTTCCCTCCTCCCAGCATTTTCGGGCCCCAAATGTCGTGCTCCATATGCCACGGCAGCAGCTTCAGGAGTTACACATGAGAAGAGAGCTACAAACTGCTGCAGAATAAGCTGCAGGAAATGCCACCCCCTCAGTTCTAGGATGGCCTGTAGGACTGTGGCTCTCTAGAAAAGACAACACAAATACCAAGGCCATATATGAAAGAGCTTTGCAACAGCATCCCCAAGCAAGCCTATGTCCCCACAAATCAGTAACTGRACATCTTGGTGCCACAAACATGGGACGACAGGCTGGACGTTCATTCTTTCTCCATCACCTGGTGGAGCACGTGGTCAGCCACAGGCAAGATCCACTCACCTCCAAAGCCACAAAACCCAGTTTCCTTGTAGTCCTTGCAGATGTCGGGCTGGTAGTCCCATCGCACCGTGGCCCGCAAGTGCTCCGGAGCCCGAATGGGTCCTTTTCTGAAAGGGTGGGAGAAGGCTCAGGCCGGGTGCGCAGCTGCAGTGGAGAAGGCCCCTGGGGGCCTGGTCAGAACCAGACACCGAACTCATTAGACACAAACAAAATGGTAATAACAGCAGAGTTCAAGCCCCAATGAGAGGTGCCTTTGGTGCCTAAGCTCTTCTGTGGGTCCCACTTTTCCGAAGCTCATCCCAACCTACCTGACCATTCCTGAAGAGGCATTTCCCATCGATGTGTCCTTGGGTTTCACATACTTCTGGTAGTTGTTAATACCACGGTAAATTTTATCGTCCTCCTTCCCTCTCAGTTCCTAGAAAGGGGAAAGGAAGGTGATTAAGGATCAAGTGACTCMGGAGAGCCACGTCACAGGTAAGCTTACAATTCTCTGTCCCCGTCTCCTGTCTCAGCCCTGCCTTTCCTGCCATCAAGGGACCTGTAAAGCCAGAAATTTCCCCTAYTTACATGGGAAACACTTTTTGCCTCTTAAATTTCCAGGGGGGAAGATCTCATAACAATGTCTTGAGACTTTTTGGTGCTCCCGAGATGAGAGACAGCAGAAGCCTCACTCCCCACCTCAGCTCTTCAYTCCAGCCACAACATGCACAGCTCTTGTTCCAGGCACTTAGGAGCTTGTAACTCACCTGCAGTCACAGACCTCCCTTAAACACARATCCTCTGAAATCCAGCTGGCTCCAAGAGCTAAACTGACTGGACTAATGGATTTGTTAAACCCCGGGGCTCCTTCTCATCACCTGCTTCTTCCAAAGATACCCCTCATGCCCTGCAGTTACACAACAGACACACGAGACTCRAATGCCTCTTAACAAGAGATAGATGGTCAGAACACACACAGAGCATTGGCTGTTGCAGAGCAATAATAACTGACCTCCTGGATTTTCTGGCTGCGCTCGAAGATCGCCTGGGCATCTTTCTCCTTCTCTGTGTCCAGCTCATATACTGCTGTGGCCCCCATGTCTTCTGGGCCAACAGGTTTCTAAAAAGTGAGAAGTACATGTGAGAACAGTGAAGAGAAAACTCGTAAAGGACAAAGAGCTCCCTGACTACTTGGAGGGTCATTCACAGAGCAAGAAGTATCCAAGCACTGGACACTGCCTCCTTCACCTTCCACCACTTCCCACCTTCTCATTCCTTCCACATTCCCACCTTTCCATAAGACAGTCATATTCAGGCTAGTTTTTGCAGAGGTCACAATGATGAACTGGAAACTGAACTTGGATGTCCGATGTCTAACGTGATATCACAAGACCATCCAGCCCACATACAGGATATCAGRACTGGATTTTTAACCCAGCTGCAGGTGGGTTATAGTCAGATTTAGTGAATGCAACAATCTGGTTTATTTTCCTCTCATATGCCTTGAATGGGTGGGCACCTATTCCCAGCTTTCATGAGATCTTCTTCAGCAGTTGCACAGGAAGTAAAGCACAACTTGAAGCAGTCTCAATTTAAAGATAAATCCAGCTTCTGTGCCAAAAGCTCCTGAGGCCCCAAACCCCCATCTGTTYCTATACCCTTCTGTTACAGCAAGCAGTGCTGAGAGCAAGATGCCCTCCTTGGCAGCAAAAACAACTTGCTTATGGAGAAAGGAGAAGGGGCATGAAGGTCTCCTGTGAATTCCCCTGTTCAGGGGATCAGCGCAACAGCAGCCTGTCCTGTGCGCTGCGCGGCCCCCAATTACACCCCTGCCCCGTCCTTACCGCCGACCTTGTCGACTTGTACGTGATGCCAATCTCCTTGGAGGGATCGTCCTCATCGCTGCTGCTCGGCGCGTACGTGGGCCTCTCCTTGGTGCTCCTGCGAGTCTGCGGAGCGCGACAGGGGCGGCAGTGAGGCGGGCAAGGGCTGGCGCCCCCCGCCAGCCTCGGCGGGGCACCCGGCCGCGGCTCCCTCACCTTCTGGATCATGGGGTTGGGGACCTCGCGCCGCCGCTCCTTCCGCACCACCGTGCTGCCCTCCTCGCCGCTGCTCTCTGCGGGCAAGAGGCGGCCGTCAGCGGGGCCCGAAGCCGCCGGGGCCGGCCGGACACGGGCGGGACCCGCCCGGCCTTAAGGGAGCAGCCGGTACGTGCAGGCCTCTGGGCGGCCGCCCCGAGCAAGCCTCGCGCCTCACCGCTCTCCCGGTCGCTGCTCGGCCGTTTGCGACGACCCCGTCCCGCCACCGGGCCGCGCTTCTTGAACACGAAGCCGCACACGGGGCCGCCGTCCGCCATTTTGCGCTGCCGCGGTCGGAGAGCGGCCCGGGGGCGCCCCCTGCGGGCGGGGAGGACGCACCCCCTCCCACACCCCGTGACGTCACGCGGGGAGGGAGGGAGGGAGGGCGCCCCCAGCCGACGGGGCGGGAGCGGGGGGAGGGGATGAAGCCCCTCAACCCCCCCCCCAACCCGCGCATCCCGGGACCCCCCTTCTCCCCCCCCCGTGCTTCCCATCGCCCTCCTCCATCTCTCAGACACGCGCAGCCCGTGGGACATTGTGTGTCTCCATGGCAACGCGAAATGGCGCCCAGATGGGGCACCCCTGGCACCCTGGCACGGGTAACGGGCACCCGGCCCCCAGCTGCCTGCGGAAGGGCAGCCACGGGAGGCCGGTGTGTGCAGCCCTGCGTGCGCCTGGCCCTGCGGTCACCATGGGCTGTCGGCGGGGATGGCCCCCTCTGCCTCCAGCCCCTCCATCTCACGCGGCCATGGTGATGCTGTCGGCATTGGGCACTTGTTGAACCCCGCGTCCTACCCCCGCCATAGCTCCGTTACCCCCCCACTGCCAGCCAGAGCAGCTCAGGGATCTCCCTTGATGGATGGAGGGCATAGCCCTTCCTCGGCACCCCCTTTCCTAAAGCTGCAGCAGGGAGAAGCTGGCCTTCCTGCCAGCTCCGGAGGGAAGGATCCCGCGGGATCCACTGGGATGCCGCAGGCAGCGGCGCGGGGAGGCCACAGGGCAGCAGTGAGCGGCGGGAGCCCCCCAGGAGYGGTGACGAGCGGGGTGCAGGCCGCTGGCACCATCCCCGCCGCCCGAGGGGCGTCCGTCGGGAGCAGGGGGGCGCTYGGCGAGGCTGGCGGTGCAGGTCGGCTCCACACAAAGGCGAGCAGAGCTCGAAGCCGGCGCGGCGCCGCGAGCCAATCACCGCGGCGGCCCCGCGATAAAAAGGGCTGGCGAGGCGGCCGTCGGAGCTGACAGGAAGCCGCTTGGGCTCCCCCGAGCCCCGGCCTCGGCGCGTGGACACAGGCGAGCGGAGCCGGCACGGACGCACGGACAGGCTGAGGCGGCCTTTGCGGGAAGGCAGCCTTGCCGCCCGGTGAGCCCCAGCGCGCSGGGATGAGGGCGGCCCCCAGGACCCCAGCGGGATGGGTTGGCACCGCTGGTGCTGGGGAGCCTTGCGGGGGACAACTGGGAGCTGCGGCCGCTCCTGGGCTCCAGGGAGGGAAGCGCTGGGAGGGAAGGCGCGGTGCAAGCAGAGGGATGGGAGGAAAGGAGGAAGGGGAAGGCGGAGGGAGCCACCGAAAGCAGGGTGGGAATTTGGTCCCCATGCAGGGCACTGTCCCCAGAAGTGGATCGGAGCCACCCGTGGAAGCGGCGCCCTCAAGTTTTGCTTTGGCCGGGAGGCTCGGCCGAGGTGGCTGCGGGAAACGGTTTCGGGGCGGACGGCTGCTCTGGAGGCGCCGCCGGAGCCCTAGGAGGGGTGTGAGGGCAGCGATGCCGGCACCCGGGTGGACYGGCAGCTGCGATGTGGCGGGTGCCACGTCCCGGGGGCTCGTGGCTGCTTCCCTCTTTGTCGTCTGCTGGCTGCACACATCCATTTTACGATGCTGACTGGGTAAAGAAAGCGGAGAGGGAAGAAAACCTGTTAGATCCCAAGTCACTTGGCCCCCTCGGTTAAGGCAGGGCCTGGCTCTCCAGGGCCTCGTCCCGGCTGCCTTCCCACCTTGGCAGCCACGAGTCTCCCATCACTTCCCGAACCCCCTGCAATGGGAGGCCATCGCACGGCTACGGGATTTAACAACACAGCCCTCCGGGCTCTGGCACAGCCCTTAGCAGCCAGGGATCTTGCAGGTTTCACAAAAGAGAACAGCTCTGAGTATTGGGGCATAAAAACGGAGCTGTGTTTTGTGCAGAGACCGGACGGGAATCAGCCTCGGGGCTCCAGCATCCTGATGCTGGGCTGCTACCTTGTAGGTTAAATTTTTGATCAATTGCTGCAGATTTCGGCTGGGAGGGCATCAGCTTTGGCTAAGGCAGCGGCCTCCGTCGTGCCTCGGAGACTGGGCTTTGTCCATCGCTGATATTGCACTGGGAAGACATCTGGCACCCCAGCTGAGCTGTCGCGTATTTAAGGCAAGAAGTAGCACATGCCTGCCATGTTATTAATGTAGATTACCAAATAATTCCAACATTCGCATCTTATTTAAACTGGCGCTCTGCAGGAAGCAACGGGCCAGTGGAGATGCCAGAACCAGTCTCTTGGGCCAGCTCAGCCACAGGGCTGCAAATGGCCTGGATGCATCTTCTGTTTCTCTAGTTTAATAGTGGCCTCCTGACCTTTTTTTAGTCAACAAAAACCCCCACCATGAGACTTCTCATTAGGGAAGGGAGTTTCTCTTCTGGTTTCCTTCAGCGAGTCAGCGCTGTGAGCCTCCAAATACAAACACAAGCCCCACAGGCCCAGCTGAACGGGGGTTTTCTCTTCTCCTCCTTGCCCTTGCCCAGCTTTTGCAGTCCGTTGTTTGGCAGCTGCCGGGTTCCCCTGAAGGYGTCTGCCTTCCCCTTCCCTGCCAGTCATTTTTATCTGCCATCTAGGGGTACCTAACTGCTAGAAAAGCTATGGGCTGAAAAACACAAAATCCAGGGGATGGGATTATTGCAGCTGTCATTAAGCACACTGAAGATACATTTGGAACTCCTCTGGGTGCCCATAACCCCTCCATATATCCAGCTCATGGATTTGCAGGTGCAAGGAGCCTTGACACCCTTCGAGGTGCCCAGCACAGCAGCCCAGAGCCCCCTTTTGCTTTTCCTCTTCGCTCCAGCGAACCCCCCAGGCCTTGCAGGGCACTGAATTCTGTAGATCTGGGTTGCACATCCCTCATTGGGAACATGGATAGAGGCTGTGGCTGGCAGGCTTTTTTGGGGGGGAGGGAGCTTTGCTGAGGGTACAGGTCAGCCCATAGAAGAAAGTGCAATTCCAAATGTGCTGTTTTGCAGGTGATACCTTGCAGGAGGAGATTGTCCAGGTTCATACACTTACAGGTTGTATTTGTAGAAAGGGGAAAAGAATGCACCATTATGGGCCCTTTAGTCAGGTAACAATAAAAGGAGGGTCTCCAGAATAGATTTGGGAAAGGAAACCAAAGACATAGGGCTGGGAAGCGTAAAAAAAAATGCAGCATGGTTCTCTCACAGATCATGTCAGGTTGTCTCTGTACCTTGGAAGGAAGGGGAAATAAAATGGGGGAGAGGTCTAGAGATCGGCCAACAGTGAGAAAAAACAGARCAGCAAAGAGGAGCATCGTGAGAGCGGAGGCCTAGAAGGCGCGAGGCAGCAGACTGAGAAACTCCTGTAGCCCGGGGAGGGCTCAGCAAGTGGAGGGCATTGGAAAAGAAAGAGCATCTGGGATTGCTGGAAGAGGCGACAGGACCTGGCCTGAGAAAGAGCAGATACGTTCAGGCAGGAAATTAGAAAGGGAGGTATAAAGGTGAGACGGGTGATGTTTACAGAAGAGACTGTGGAGGAACCAAAAAGGGGAAGGAAGGAGCAGTGACTGCCTGTGCTCACTTACACCAGCTTTGGGTTGCGTTTCATTAGCGCCGTCCTGCAGAAACTGCAGCATCTTCTGCAGATCTTTCTCCTAGGAAAGCAGTTACTCCTGATGTCCAACCTGAACCTCCCAAGCTGCCCTTTTTGGCCATTGCTGCCAGCTCGATCATATGGCAGTGCTCCTGGGAATGATTCATCTCTGTGGTCTTTGCAACTGCTCTTCAAGAAGGGGAAGGCTCCTCTTCTCTAAGTGTCCTCTTCCCCAGACCAACAYGACTCAGCCCCTTCTACATCTCCTCATCTCCTCATCCTGGGCATTAGCTAACTTGTCTTCTTCACACTAGCCAAGCAGGACTTTTCCCAGGGTCACCACAAGTGACAGCCACACTTTGTACAGCCAGTTGGTGGCACAGGCAGAACTGCAGTGGCTGCAACCCTTCCTCTTCATCAGCTGCCACCTTCCCCATCCTATCTTCTCCCAAGGAAGCATCAAAACTCCATTTTCTAGGCTGTTGTGCTCTGCAGGCCCTTTCTTTGTGTGTTTGGCTCATGCTGCGCAGAGCCCAGGCTCTCCAGGAGAGGAGAGGGCCATCGAGGTCTGTGTGGGGGTCAGCGGTCGCTCTCTGCACTGGGCTTTGCTCAGCACTGCCACCTGTCCTGCTTTCCSTTGTGCTGGTTGGAGCTCACTCCGTACCCACTGATGCCTGCGCCAGCACCCATGGCCTTCTGGAAAACGGGCTCTTCTCACCCTCTTGGCAGCTTTCCTGTTGCTTTGCCCGCAGCACCAGAGCTCCTTGCGAGGTGCTCCAACCTTCTCCTCAGTGACAGGTGGGTGCTGGGCACTAGCACGTGTCCCTGGGCCCCATCCTTGTGGTGCCGCGTGCCTTGTCCCCAGGGAAGAGCCACAGGAGAGCCAGGCAGGCGGGCAGAGGCCTGTCACTGGAAGCCACACAAGGAGGCGGTGGCAGAGCTGAAGCTGGGCAGCTGTGCAATGAGCTCTTCAAGTTCTCAAGCTGCAAGAAGCAGTAGCCAGCTGTGCAATGAGCTGGCTGCTTCTCAGACTCAAGGAGAAAGGTTCCTCAGCTCCTCCGCTGGCCTGCCCTGCTGGCTGCACTAATCCTGCACGATATCAGTCCCCAGAGTCCCAGGTTTAATCCAGGCCTTGCTGGTGGAGAGGTTTGATGGCCCCTYCATGGAGGTGCTGAGCCCCTGCCTGGGTCCTGCCAGCGATTCCCGGTGCCCTCGCGGCTCCCTGCGGACGGGATGCAGAAGGAAGGGGCCCAGCTCCCTCGTGCAGCACTTGGCCTTTGCGAAAGCTGCTTGCCAAGGCTCAGGGATCCCGGCAGTTAACAGAGATTTCACAGGGCTGCTAATGGGAACCAGATGGCAGTGAGGGGCCTCTGGCCCTCCGCGATTCCCGTGCTGCCCCTCACTGGAAGGTTTCCGGTGCTCCAAGAGGCTCCC